GAATCCCCCCGCCCGACTGTTAGCTAGTTTCATGAATGGGTCCCGACCGGCATACACTTTTCCAGCAACAAAATTATGGGTTTTGAGAGACAAGCTTTCTTCCGTGATTGCTTACAACGACAGTAGGTAGAAGTTGCGGTTCTTCCTCTGCAAATTACCTATGGCATACCCACTACATCCATGGATTCATTACAAATCTGGTGCCCAACGTGGGGCTTAAAAGCGAAGGTTTCGGCTATATTTTATCATGCTTTTAGTTCCCCAGAATGAGGATTAGCTTGCTACGTTTTGTCCCACATAATGAGATAGAATTTACCAAGTTTCGACCTCGTAATTAATAAATTTTGTCGAATACTATGTCTCCATTGAGAGATTTATCCACTAAGATTTAATAAATCCAAATATTTGACGTTTGCTTATGTATGATTTTATAAATACAGTTGCGGACATTGATATACAGACAGATAAAAAGAAGGTACCAAGCGGAATTTCATTATATGAATTCTGAATATTATTGGCTTCTTATTCGAGGTAAATATGTATCTATGTATAATATGTAGTTTGGAAAGTGTAAAGAATGGTACCATATTCCGAATCATTTTTCCGAATTTAAGAAAAATTATCAAAACGGTAAAAAACATTTGCGGAAAGAAAAAATTTTGTAGAACTCTCGTATTCATAGGAGGGAACCGAAAATCCAATCGTGGGCCTTTGGCATATCATGAATACGAACTGAGTTCTAGAGGATTTTCGGTGCAATGTTATCGAAGCAGAACCATTACCGAAATTTATAAATTTTTTGTCGCAGCGCATAAATGACTTATAGAAAGCGGAGAATACTCTGCATGATATTACTATAAAACATTTCTTCTAAATATTTAGTTTTTAAAATAATATTTTCTTAATTTATTACAACCAAAGTTATGTAAATATGTATTACTAATTTTCCTCCTAAACTAACAAAAATATAAAAATCCCTAAAAATACGAAAATTCATGTTTTTATTATAGGCTAGATTTCAATGTCCTCAACTTTATAATGAAAACACAAATGTCATTTGACTTACGGCATGTGAATTTGTGGTTGCCACATCCAACAAATTGTACTTATTGACCAATATTATTGAAGATTTGACGAAGATTTAACTTAAATCTACTGCCTTTCGAGATTTAATTTTATATGGTAAATCTTAAAAGATTAACGTCAAATCTCGTCAGAGGGCTAAATCTTCATTAAATCTCACAATGGAGACATAGTATAAGTAATAAAATTTCCAGCTCGGGTAATTTTCTGTGCCTCAAGTGGATGTATACCTTGAACGAATTCGGATTTCAGGCATATCAGCCCTGGAACTTTCTGCCACTTGTGTTGAAGTCCATTATTGATGGCCAGATGACTTACTTTCAACCATTCATTGTCTTAAGTTTTTATTTCAAAATATTGCCTTCCTGGAATTGGTATTAAGACTTATCGGATTTTTTTATCAACCGTAGGACAAGTATTTGAAAACTAACTTGAACGGGGTTTACAGTTCGTCCAAGCATGGAAAAGAAAGTTTTAGGCTTAGCAGACCTCAATACTTAGCCGCTGAAGACTAAATTGTAAACTTTCAACAATACAATTTAAATTTTTTTTCAATTCGATAGTTATGAATTTCTTCCTTGGAACGCAAGTAAAGGTTACCAAATTTCTGATGAGGACTCCTGCCTTGCCCGGTAGAAATTCGAACAGAAGAATTGATACTTGCTTTTAAAATTCTTTACCAATGGAATCTCAATTTTAAGGCCAAACCAAAGGTTAGAAATTGATTTAATATTGATTTTAAACGGTCCCACATATATTACCAATAAAAGGAATTCTTTTCGAAATAGTGTTGATTTTTGTTTCTAATCTTCAACTTTGATTTTCACCTTACGGAAGTTCGAAACTTTGAAATAGCTTTGGAGACTTTATATGCAACAATTCAGTATGGCGGTAATGATCCGAAGTACTGAAAATCTGGCTAATTTAACGGCCGAAGCATCAGCTTGTTCTTGCGCAATTTGTTTGCAAGATATGCCGAGTGGAAACGATTGTTGGATTACTTTCTGTAATCATGTTTTCCACAAGAATTGCATCGAACAACGGCTGACAACTTCACATGATTGCCCTGTATGTCGAAAAAGAGTAAACAAACGAGATCTGCAACCAATCAACACCGATCATAAACCGAAGAAGAAAAATGAAGGAACCATCGTGACGGGAAGTACTACCGCGCGAACGCAAAAGCCATAACGATATAATACTCGAAGCTCTCGTAGATTATATGATGACCAAGACACGGGAGTATTCAATTCCACGCTACCCGATGCAGATCAGACCGCAAGATTTACTGGAAACCGTGCGCGTAATAATAGTAATTATAGGCAAACCCAACCACTTGTAAATTACGATCGCATAGGAGAAATGATAAATGAGACAGTGAACCGTATGTTTGCAAATTTAAACTTAAATGTTGCTCAAACAGTCGCACAGACGTATGCGCATAGTAATAATTCCTCTGTTGAAGGCAACGAAACCGACTTGTCCGAAATCTCAGTACCCTAAGTCCGGAGAAAATAACAACGTTGATTCAAAATTGGCAAGTTAAATTCGATGGCTCTTCCATTGGTCTAAAGGTAGACGAATTTTTATATCGAGTACATTCTTTAACTTACGAATGTTTAAATGGTGATTTTCAATTAATTTGTAGGAACCTTCCAGTTTTACTTGTAGGAAAAGCTCGTGATCTTCATTGGCGTTACCACAAAATGGCACATCACGTTGAATGGGAAGATTTTTGCAATGCGTTAAGACGGGAATATAAAGATTATAGATCAGATTATGATATAAGAGAAGAAATTAAAAACCGAAAACAGGGACCATCCGCAACATTCGAAAGTTTTTATTACTCTGTTTTAGAAAAAGTTGACAAAATGGCTACTCCGTTGTCAGAAGAGGAATTAATTGAAATTATCACTCGAAATTTACGGACAGACATTCGACATGAATTATTGTACGTACCCATTCGATCGTTAGCTCATTTGCGTAAACTTGTACAAAAGCATGAATTTCTTTTTGCCGATGAAAGTAGTCGTCGCATGCCAGCTATGCGTAATGTACCGGCCACCACTTATACCGGCCGGCGTCAAGTATCCGCCGTGGATCACTTGGATGTGACACACGACGAAGTAGTAGAGCAAATTGATGATAATTTCGTACAGGCGGTCAACGCGACAAAGTGTTGGAATTGTCTGCAAGAAGGGCATCATTGGGAAGATTGTCTCAGTGAAATATATATAAACCAAATTGTGAATCGTGTAAAAAGCGAACGGAAAACTCCAAGAGGGTTGCGTTCAAAACCACCCGGACGCAACCTACCAGTATGTAGATAACGAAACTTTAAATGACATTGTAAATAATTTACTGGCTTGCTCAGTCTAGGAAAATGCGAGTGAATCTATAAGCACCTGTTTTGTTAATCGAAAAGAAGATTCGAAAATTTCGAGTGCGACGAAACGCAAGCGGCAAAAAAATAGGACTACTAACGGATTTAGAAGTTTTGAAACTTAATAATCACAAAGATGGAAGAATTTTATTGCCTTTGGTTCCATACCACATTAGATTAGCAAATTATAATAAAGTAAGGAATAGGATTTTTTCTGATTGCCCTGAATTATTAAATAAAAATAAGAAAATGGAACGTTCCACCTTTAGACTACGTAGATTCTGGAAAGCAGTTCGAATGACAAAAAAAGTTTTAAATTCAGCAATCTTGCGAAATGAAAGCAACTCATTATGCTATGCGAAAGTGAAATTTTTAGATTTTGAGGAACTTGGTTTATTAGATATGGGCGCGAAAATGAAATTTCGCGAATATCTCGTTTCCGTAAAATTCATTCAAGTGTAAAAACCACGGATGGTAAAAGTCATAAAGTTGAAGGGACCGTAGACGTCGATATAATGTACAAAAAGGAAGTGAAAAATTTGAAGTTATATATAATATCGTCATCAGATTCTAGGCTTATTTTAGGTATAGATTTTTGGAGAGTCTTTGAACTTGCTCCTTAAGTTATCTCAGCTATTTCGCATGATGAAAGTCCCTCTGATAGTGGTGAAGAAGATTACTCATATCCGCTTACTTCACTGCAAAAACTGTCTGGGTCGAACCAGCCTCATCGAACACGATATCGATATAGAAGAATCGAAACCGATTAAACAACGCTATTATCCTCTTTCACCAGCTGTAGAGAAACTGATGTTTAGTGAAATTGATCGCATGCTAAGTCTTGGTGTTATTGAGCCATCCAGCAGTGCCTGGAGTTCATCAATGAGACTTGTGCTCAAACCTGGCAAGGTACGATTGTGTTTCAATGCACCAAACCAAAAAGGATGCATATCCTTTACCCAACATACAAGGTATTTTTTCACGGTTACCAAAGGCAAACATCATCTCAAAAATCGATTTAAAAGATGCTTATTGGCAAATTGGCTTGACAGAGCGATCTAAATCGTTAACTGCGTTTACCGTACCTGGAAGACCATTGTATCAATTCAAGGTCATGCCTTTTGGGTTATGTAACGCGCCGTCTACCATGTGTCGTTTGATGGATGAGATTATACCAGCTGATCTAAACCATTGCGTCTTTGGGTATCTAGATGATCTTGGTATAGTATCTGAAGACTTTAACACGCATGTGAAGATTTTAATCAGGATAGCGAACCAGTTCAACAAAGCGAATTTAACCATTAACGTTTCTAAGAGTAGTTTCTGTGTGACGCAGGTAAAATATTTAGGTTTTGTTATTGGAGATGGTGGTATCTCCCCATATTTAAGCAAAGTTGATTCGATTTTATCCTGGCCTGTGCCAAAAACTTTAAAACAAGTACGAAGTTTTCTTGGTTTAGCTGGATGGTATCGAAGGTTCATTTCAAATTTTGCTGATGTAACTTTCCCTATTACCCAGGTATTGACTACCAAGAAAAAATTCGTGTGGACAGAAGAGGCGCAGAAAGCTTTCGAAAAGTTAAAAAACTTGTTAGTCTCGGCTTCCGTTCTTTCAAACCCCAATTTTTCAAAAAAATTCTTCGTGCACTGCGATGCTAGTGACTACGGTATAGGCGCGGTGTTGGTTCAATTAGTTGAAGATGGTGCAGAGAAGCCGATTGCTTTCATGTTAAAAAACTTAACTCTGCGCAACGAAATTACAGCCTTACCGAACGAGAATGTTTGGCTGCGATCGAAGCCATAACCAGATTTCGATGTAATTTGGAACTGCAGGAATTCGAAATCATCACCGACCACTCCAGTCTTGTGTGGTGGATGCGACAGCCAAATCTAAGTGGAAGGCTTGCGCGATGGGCACATAAGCTGCAAGCTTATAAATTCACTGTCAGTCATCGTAAAGGAAAGGATCATATCGTACCAGACGCCTTGTCGCGCATCCATGCTGAACTTAATAACGTGGAAGAAATTGGTCCTGAAATCGATTTAGACTCCGAACACTTTTCCGAACCGGAATATGAAGAATTTAAAAAAAATGTGTTAAAAGACCAAAGCAGACTACCAGATGTCAAAGTAATCGACAAGTTTGTGTATCGCCGCACTGAACATGCAACTGGAGAAGCAGAACAGATAAATCGTTCATGGAAACTTTGGATACCAAAATTACTGCGTGCAGATGTATTATATCGAGCACATGATTGTGTCATCGCAGCACATGGAGGTATATTCAAAACGTTAAACTTAATCCGGAGGAATTTCTACTGGCCAGGATTAGCCAAGGATGTCCGAGAATACGTGAGAAATTGTGAAGTATGTAAAGCCACCAAAGCACCAAATATCATTTTGACACCACCAATGGAAAAACAAGTGAAAACATGTCGTCCTTTTCAACGCTTATACATAGATATTTTAGGTCCTTATCCCAGGAGCAAGAAAGGAAATATTGGACTGTTGATCGTCCTTGATCATTTCTCAAAATACCACTGGTTATGCCCGTTAAAGAAATTTAAATCAGATTTAATAAAAGACTTTCTTTTGACGTCCATTTTTCATTGCTTTGGTGTTCCAGAAGTCATCGTTAGCGATAATGGCACACAATTCAAAGCTAATGAGTTGAATGTATTTTTGACCAAGCTGGGAATTCAGCATACATATACCGCTTTGTATTCTCCATAGGCCAATGCGTCCGAACGGGTCAATCGATCCTTGATTGCTGCGATCCGAGCGTACTTGAAAACTGACCAAACAAAATGGGATAAAAACCTGAGCAGCATAAGTTGTTCTTTAAGAAATTCTTTGCACCAATCCATTGGATGATCGCCCTTTCACGCTCTTTTCGGGTAGAATATGATCACCCATGGCTCAGCTTATAAACTCCTAAAGAATCTGGACTCACTGGAAGAATCAAATTGCTTGCTGGATAGAAAGGATCAAATGGCTTTACTGCGGGAAGATTTAAGTCGAAATACCACAAAAGCATACGAACGTAATGTGACTCAATATAACTTGCGATCTCGACCAGTTCATTCCAAAGTAGGGCAGGAAGTTTTACGAAGAAATTTTGCACAAAGCAGCGTAGAAAAGCGTTTCAATTCCAAGTTAGCACCGCTGTTTATCAAAGCTAAAGTTCGAGAGAAGTTAGGAAGCAATTATTACATCTTAGAAGATTTAAAGTGCTAAAGACATTCGTCCCTAGTCGCCCTTTTCCATCTAACTCTCCTCCTAAAATTCGAACAGTTCTCGGGTTTTGTAATGGTCGACTGGATTGTAAACAAGAAATTGCTTTCTTATTGGAAAAAAATATATATGTACATATTACTGGCAAGCTGCCGGCATTATTGCCGCTACATGTTGCTAAGGTCGAACTTCTACTTCTGGTGAATGCATATTTCGCTGTTCGAATGTTAAAACGAATAGAAAAAAAATTGTAAATTTGGGTAGGTTTTCGAAATCAAAATTCTGGAGTATTTTCTTTCCGACAACGTTCGATGTTTCCTAAATCAAGGTAAATAGAACGTCCACAGATATTTTTTTATATACATATGTATGTACCAAAACTTATACGATGTCGAAACCAATCGTATGCACATACGTAACCGCCCAACATTTTAATATTCATATGTACTTATACATTTGTATGTACCACTTTTAGACGCGGTAGGTTACCGTACTTATCCGTGCCTGGACGCACAGAAAACCAAAGTGGCAAGCAAGGGTCGCCATCGGATAGCTTCAATACAAATTGAATACCCTGCGTCAGTCACCTAGAATCATCTGCACCGCGCGGTTTAATTAACCATAAAACTCCAACTCCAGAAAATTTCGAGGAGCCTCATGGCCGGCTGTCCGAAAAGTGCTAAAAAAATAAGTGAACAGAAAAATAAAATAAGAATTTTTGGAAAAAACGCGTACAATTGAGTATAGCCCATAATTTGAAAAGAAAAGAACATATCAAAAAAATTGGAAAAATTTCGTAGGGAAGTGAGTATAGCTGATAAGAAAAAAAGATAAAGAAAAATTTAAAAAAAATTTAAAAAAATTGTTAAATTAGTTGTATGAAATT